ATGAAGTACAGCTAACAGTGCATAAATCTCAAGAAGACAGTAGGATTCACTTATTAAAATTTGGCAAGGATCAGAAATGAATGACTTTTTGTCTGAAATGCCAGCTTTTTTCTTTTTAGGATTAGTTTTACCCTAAAGCTATAACAATTATAAATAATTATCTGTTAGCAAAACTGGCACAGCTAAACTTAAAGCAAATAAACTAAGAAATTGAACTGATTAAAAAATAAACAAGAAATTTAGCTTTTTTTGAGGAGATGACTTCAAAGGCTTGCTAAAATGACTTTCGTATCTATGTTTATGTAGGAATATTAGTTTAAAATTATGATAGAGTCATAGAGTAATGCTCTACTCCTGTTTAAAACAATTCTCAGGAAATCTATACTTTGGACTCGTCTTATAACGAAAGTTACTTTATTTCTACTTTATGATTCTTCTGGTAGTCATTTTAGTCAAGGTTCTTTGTTCTGCGCTGTTAAAACCAACTCATGCTAGTTTAACAAAGGGGAATTTATTTTAAAGATACAAGAGTGTACCATGTAGAATGTAGCTAATCTTCAGGAAAGGGAAAGTTTCCATAAAACCTGTCTCTCATTTTTGCTTCCCTCCTTCCCTGCCTCTCTCTTTCCCTCCTTTTTCCACCCTTTTATCCTTTCTATTTTTTTTCTTTCTTTTGTCCACATAGCAGAATGTTGCTGCCCTAAGAATCTCCCTCCCTTCAGTCTCAATTCCACATTCTCACAAAAGAGAATCTGACTGGTCCAGTTTGGACTCCTAGCCAATAATCCGTTGTAAGGATGGGCTGGATCATGGGGTAAAACATAGCTGCCAACACTCACAGCTTGTTCTCAAGCAAAACAGGGGGAGGAGTGGTGGCTTATTGGTGTCCACTACAGTTGTTTATCAACCCTTGGGTGGAACTAAGCAATACTAACCTCATACAGTCACGCACCATGTAACAATGTCTCAGTCAACAACAGACCGCATATGTGATGGTGGCCCCATAAACTTATGATGGAGCTGAAAAATTCCTGTTGCCTGGAGATGTCTTGATGATCCTGACCCTGTGTAGGCCTACCCTAATGTGTGTGCTTGTGTCTTAGTTTTTAACAAAAAAGTTTAAGAATTAAAAAATTAAAAGGTTTAAAAATAGGAAAAAGCTTATAGAATAAGGATATAAAGGAAGTATTTTTGTAGAGTTTTACAATGTATTTGTGTTTTGAACTAAATGTTATTACAAAAGAGTCAAAAAGTTAAAAAAATAAAAAATTTATAAAGTAAAAAAGTTACAATCAGCTAAGGATTTTTTATTATTAATAAAAGAAAAATATTTTTAATAAATTTATTATAGCCTAAGAGCATAGTGTTTATAAAATCTACAATATTCACTGATTCATCAAGGTGATTTCCAGTCCTGCAAGCTCCATTCATGGTAAGTGTTCTATACAGATATGCCATTTTTAATCTTTTACACTGTGCTTTGACCATAACTTTTGTCTTTAGATATGTTTAGATAAATACATATACCATTGTATTACAATCACCTACAGTATTCAATACAATGATATTCTGTGTAAGTTTGTAGCCTAGGAGCAATAGCCTACACCATGTAGCCTAGGTGTGTAGTAGGCCATACCGTCTAGGTTTGTGTAAGCACACTCTATGAGATTTGCACAACAACAAAATCTTCTAATGATCCATTTCTCAGAATATATCCCTGCCGTTAAGCAATGCATGACTGTATTAAATTAGAGGCTATGGTGAAAAAGGAAAGAAAATAGTGCTATTTATGTTCAAATAAAGTGTTTCCTTTTTGAATTTGACTTTTTCAAAACCTCATCATGTGAATTCCATCTCTGAGGGCTCATTTACAAAAACAATTCAAAACGTTTTGTATTGGGAATATTGGTGTTGGCAACACAAGCTTCAGGAACCAGTGCCAGTTCTTCTTGTTTATTCCTCGGTGTAGTGTGTGCTTGTTTGCAGTAAATGTGTGAATGACACAGAAAAGAATTGAGGAGTACAGCAATACATTCATTCAGGTCGCCCACCTCATTTGTGAGGACCCTGCAGTAAACACTGCTGGATAAATAAGGCCAACTGTGGGTGTCATATTGGTCTATTTTAGGAATAGTGAATGGGTGCCTGTCTCAAACTATCTTCTCTGTAGTTTTTTGAAGACTCTTAGTACAATTCCAACTGTTCCTTTAGCTCTGCTTACTTTCTATATGCTGATGATAGCCCAATATATATGGCCAGCTCCTATTATTTCCCAAATAACGACCGCTATCACAAAAGTAAAAACTTCAAAACTGAACTTATTTCTACCCTGCCTCTTTGAATCCATTCCCTGTGAACTTGTTTTGCTTTTGTTTTTGTTTTTGTAGAAACAGGGAGTGCCCAGGCCAAAGTGCAGTGGTGCAATCATAGCTGACTGAAGCCTTGAATTCTTGGGCTCAAGCGGTCCTCCTGCCTCGGTCTCCAGAATCACTAGGATTACAGGCATGAGCCACACACCCAGCTGGTGTGATCTTGTTATTCTCCTGCTGTCCTTGGGTTGGTTATCAGTACATCTACTCAGTTAACTAAGCTATCGACTCTAGAGATTAGCAGTTCTGCTCCTTGTTCCTGGCCAACCACATTTCTTTGGGAGAAAGAAATTCCTGTCAGGAATTTACAAAATCTTTTGAATCTATTTCACTTAGTCCTATGCTCTCTGCATTGATTTATTTCAGACTTATCATTTCTATCTTGGACTAATATAGTCATTTTAAACCTGTCTCTTTGTCTCCATCTACTCCTTTTGCTACATCTCTACATTGTCAGCAGAATTACCTTTGAAAGATGCTGCTATAAGCTTAAAAATCTGCTTTAAAAATTATTTGGGAGTTTCCATTATGAATAGGGTAATATCCAAAGTGCTTTATAATGTGATCCCTACACAGCTTTTTATCCTTATCTCTTTTCCACATACAATATGTTTCAACCACCCAGAAATTCTGGCCATGCCACAAACACGTAATGGAATGTTCCAATTCTTTTTGAACATAGTAGTTAATGCATTCATTGGGTGTCAGGCAGATGGGAGGGGGGAGGAAGGGATGGGATATACACACCTAATGGGTGCGGTGCCTGCCTTCTGGGGGTGGACACGCTTGAAGCTCTGACTCAGGTGGGGCAAAG